CTAGCATTCTTGCCTACCATGCATTGCAGAATGCAGATGTTTCCTATGCAGAAAAGACCTTCGCTAGTTGTCCAGATTTAAAAAAGTCATCTTTCTACATAATTGTTCTTTGCTTCTTCGCGCTTGTGCTTCTAAAATATTTTTGATTCGCTGCGTCCAAGCAACAGCTAAATCAGATCCAAGGAAAACGCTCGTTTTCTTTTCGATTTAATTTTGAACGACCCAACTGCTAATACCAATTTATTACCGACTAGATCATTGCGGTCTCGACATCCTTTCCAACACTAAAGCATTGATCCACATATGTATTTCCTGTTACGGGTTTAATTACGCAACCGTTCAGCGCCGCTTACCACCTGAACCGACATTCACGCGCTGTTACCAACAAACAAACTATAATTCACAGAAGCACTTCCCGCATACCGAGCGCGTCGCCAAGCCATATCTCCTCCGCCTGTTTTCTAACTAACGCCGGCCAGTCTCTGCGGCTGCGACCGCGGGCATCCGTTCTGGAGTCATCGGCCTCCATCACAGTCTGTTGTAACATTGGTGCGCTGTCAGCTGACGCCTGCGGGCCGCGCTGATCGCTGGTCGAACCGCACACGGACGGACAGCCGTACCGGCTGAGAGCGCCAGCCGACGCCCCAGCCGCGGCAGGGCTGGCGTCATACAGCGAACAGTTGTTGGGAGGTGTATGTATTTGAGGATATCCTGTTATACACACCACGGAGTCTTTCGGATGACCATCTCTTGATTACGTCTCAATATAATTAACGTTAAAAAACAGACATAAGTCAGTATCGTAAGTATGAAGTAAATCAGTGACACCAGCAGCACTCGTAAGTAAGTTAGTTTTATCACATTATACAAATCGCGGAGACAAAGTCATAAAAAAGTATCACCTAGAAATTGACGTTTACCGCTAAACGGTCTTACATCACGTCTCCCTCATCGCAGTCTGTTGTGTAAATCGCGGCCGGTGGCGGTTACACCGTTCACCTGGCATCTCGCTGTCACCCAGGAGGTGCAGTAATCTCGGTGGGATGCCGGTCTAGCCCCCCTCCCCCGCCCCCGTCCCTCAGGTATCTCCCGGGACGGGGTGTGCTCACTGACCGCCGCTGGCCTTGAGCAAATCGCCCGCCGTCCACACCCACCGCGGAGAGCCATGGTTTGGACACGCGAATGGCTAAACGACTACCTACGTCATCAAATTCTGCAAAGCTCAGCGCCGAAATGTTTATTTCATAGTCGATAACTGATTGCCAGTTGTGGGAACTTTGGTTACGCCTGTCGTAAGCTTCTTGCATGCCGAAGTTTTAACGTACTTCAGCCTTGAGCTCGGACATTATTTTTGCATAACAGGTTTATAATCCTAATTAACTGCATATTTATTAGCAACTCTTCATTATCGCTGTGTTAATGAAAGCAGGCAAACCCTGATACGCTCATAATCTACTCCAATATCTACAGGCTACACCAGGGAGCTGGTTGTCATTGCTCGACACTATACAGTACTTTTATAAAGTAGTATACCTATAATTATTTTCATGCAAAGTTGAAGCATGCCATTGCCACTTTCGCTAACAAATCGTAGGTATTTACGCCGGCAGGTAATGCTTGATATTCAAAAGCTTTTTAAGCTCATCAATTGCGTAGTTTTTCTTAACCCGGTAGTCGCTGGGATATTCCACTACCTAGTACCTACCCACTGCATTTGCTGAGGGGGGGGGGGAATTATCGGTTAACTCGCCGATAACCCCCACCCTCGTTTCGCCCAAGCCGATAGGTAACTCGAGAACCAATTGGGTGTCTCTCGTCATAAACTCTGTCAAGTGTCAAGACTGTGCACAATCCTTCATATAAGCGCTAGCATGAGTGGCAGATCCATGTAGGGGTCAGTCGAGCATAGGCCATGTTCAATGTTAGGTCAACCAGCTAAGAACATATCCCCGAAAATCTTTGTTGGCATTCTCGCAGCAAATGACACCAGTTGTCCTGGTACATACCTTTAGGCATAGAACACGATGGAGACATTCATTCTATCATAATTGTATGTCTTTGGTCGAAAAAGACCAATTAAAGACATACTTGCGTCATGGTCGTGAAGAAGCCTCGAGAAATTCCCAAGATTCAATTTAAGATTTTGTAAAATGTAGAACGATGATCCAAATCAAAGATAGCCATTTGATTGTGCATGGTATTGACAGTCTATAAATGGCGTTTATCGCATGTCTGTTTTATTTTTGTGTGATTTTATATGATTTTTAAACATTTTGATCGAAAACTCCGAAATCATGACGTCACTAAAACCTTGAAATCTAAAAAATTAGACCGATTTTCGAAACTACTCCCAATAAGCGCCTGCGGCGCGCTGTTTTTAGCTAAACTCGCGGGTTAAGAAGCCAAATACATTTGAACTGGTAGTCTGTTGCCGGTGCTGAGCTTGGCCTAAAGTTACATATTATACTCAGTAATCTGTGACGACAAACAGTTAGGTATGCACTTATAAAGTGCTCGCATGTCTTCCGAGACTTCCCCGTTCCTTTTATAGGTCCAGCAGTAAAGAGTAGGCATAGCCATGAAAGTAAGCCGCAAGTGAGACGCTGAAGGTGATTGTTGGTAGTGGCCACTTTAGAAAAGTGACGGCTAACGTGACGCCAACTCCTGCTCTATCATTTCGTTTTGACGTTTTCTCAGTCCCGACTGCGGAGCACTTTCACTTCCATGGGGCGTCAAAAGGAGAAGCTACGGAAGCAGCGAAAGCGACTCCGCAAAATCAGTGAAGCGAGCAAGGCTGGATTCGACGAAAATAAAATGAATACAAAATGAGACTAACTAAAATGAGCTTGTGCAAGACCTTTCTGAAAAACTTGTGCCCTTCTCCTATGGGCAGGGACTCTTCTTGGAATAATTGTGCCGGCGGTCCCGCATACGTTGTAGGTAATGACTAATGACTTTATAGTTTTTTTAAGAAGGTATTGTGGGATATAGACACCTAAGAGCTTTCCTTAATTATTGAACCGAGTTAGAAAGTGTTTATACAGTGTCTACCACTCAAAGCAATCGATGACCAACATATTTTTTAGATTTTAAGTACAGCGGCTTACATAATGCATTACCTATAGTGCAGTTAATAAAATGGCACGGTAACAGGTCAAAATGCTCTCAATGCTTGTTTTCAATGTAGCGAATCTCTGTAGGCATGTACCGACTACCTGTTATCAATAGGCTGACAGGGGACTGATATCTACCATCACTTGTGGCGGGGAGGGCCGAGAGCAAACCAACCATTAGGAATTGATGAATGAAAAGCGATCGTTTTTCGCTTTCGTGAGATCCGCTATCTATAGGAGTATATCTTTCTTGACTGATCTCATGCAGTCTATCCCCATACCTCTCCATCCATCCCCTTCTTTCTCTCTCCTCTCTCACTCCTTCCGTCCATCGGAGAGTACCCGCGCCGTCTCGATCTCGGCGTCGGAGCGCTCCCCAGCTTCCCCGGCCGGCCGGCAGCCACTCCGCGCCGGTCGCCGGTCACGGTGCCCGGGTTTATGGGTCAAGCCAAGCCTGTAATTGTCTTGCGTCACGTTCGGTGGCGCCGTCCGTCCGTCTCGGACAGCTCGCAGCGTCACGTGAGAAACGCTCCGCAGCTGGTCGCCGGATGAGATAAACGTGAGACCGTTTGTCAGCCGCGCCGTCCGCGAAACGACGCCGTCTCGCTGAATCGCAGAAGGAAATGCCGGATGCTGTGAAATGTGGAATTTAGTAAGCCCCCCCCCCCCCAGGTGGAGAAAGAGCCCGCAGTATGAACAGAACGGTATGGTGGTGGTGAGAGCCCGGTTCGAACCGCTTTGGCGTTCACTATTTTGGCTTTTAGTTCCGATGCTTATAGTGTGTGCGGTCATGGGCAGTTTGGCAATGGTCTCGTAGCAGAGAAGAGGCTAGTTTTACCAACAGAAAAGCCGCTGGCTGGCGGATTTTTTTTTCCTCAAGTTCCCCGAATTTCTTCATCCAGGCGAAAAACTAACTACCGACGTGAACGATAATATCAATATCAGGCAGCATAAGTGATACCTATGATTTCACATCAGCGCGGCGGTTACCTTTTTCAGCGCGATTGGTTGAACTTCAGGGAGACTTCTAAGAATGAAAATACCGACAGCCGGCTATTTTTTTTCTGCTTGTGAAACTAGCCTCAGGTTAAGTCGGTGCAAGGGATTGGCTGTGCCCTGGGATTATACGTCTTTGACGAGTGCGACGGTCGAGGGCTAGGTATGTCCCGTCTCCGTGCAAGTTTAGTAACAGTGGCGACGCCCTTGGGATCGGAGAGGGTTCGTATAAGTCGCACCTGCTTCTCCTGCGTGATTGAAGTTGAACACAGATCGCACCCTCCCTGGTAGGTATTAGCCTCTATGGTTCATCAATCAGCGTGAATGAAGGTGACGCGATGTCTGTGGGGCGCGCTTTCCCCTATAACCGGCACGGCGGTGACTGTGACCGAACTGACTAAGACGGCGATAGTTATGATGCATTGTAAATTGTAATGTGTTATGTACTGTACATTCAAGAGCGACCCACACCAACTAATTGCGTAGGGATTAGGTACTGCTAAGTGCTAATTGATTAGGCTGCAAGAAGTCTGCATCCTCCAAGCATCACATACGTCCTGGGACGCGGCCTACGTCCTGGGATAAGGCAAATGACAATGCCCCAAGAAATGTGTGTAAGCTGCTCGGGGCAGCTCGATAGAGATAAGAAAGCCAAACTGCACGGAAACGAATTCGTGGGAAATCAATTTTTACTTTTGATAAATCTTTTATGTTTAAAGGTAGACATTTTTTCGGGATTGTGGCGTGATATGAATAATTATAAATTTCATTAGTTGTATCAGAATTCATTATTTGCTAGTTCTGTCTTTCTACGAAATTGCGCTCATCAGACAATTAATGGCTCCTTCGCTTTGATAATTGTTTGTTCAAAAAATCATTCAGAAAACAAATATTCAATTTGATACTATGGTTGCCAGGCGATTCGCGGGTAAATTTCTTAATAGCAGTCAGTTGCTAGGCAACCAATCGGCATTGTAATATCGGTTATTTTGTCGAACAGCGTTGCCGTGGGCAGCCGTGGGTTTTTGACTCTTGCGTCCTAGCCATAAGCCGCCCAGTGTTTTTATATACCTTGAAGCCGCCTTGCCATAAGCGATAAGTATTCAGTAAAGGTTGTAAAATTTAAAGTTTACAGCTTCAAGTGTATTTTATCTGGCCGGATTTGCAGTTATTTAAGGTAAATTGTCCTGAGACTTATCTCAGTTGGGCAAACTAGACTTTTGGAATCAAAATATGGAGGCATCAATAATTTGATTCTGGTGGGAGGAGCCATGACCAAATATGGGCATGGAATCAATTTTTTGATTCATTTGGGTACACTTTTGACTTCAAATGTATCGTTACGGTTGAAAAAAGGCCCATGACGGTGAGATTTTTCTTTAAAAAGGTAGAAAAATGTGGTAGTTTTGCAAAAAGTGTTACCTCAAAACTAAGAAATTGTCCCTTTGGCCTTGTGAATGGGAAAAAGACAGAGGCACTGTCCATCACGTAAAAGCTGTTTTGAGGAAATCACACTGTATGCTATTTTTGTATCATGAATCACATACTAAACAATCAGTATTTGTGTAAAATGGCAAAATGAAATTTTCAAACCCCTAATTATCATTGTTGTAGTGCTTTTATATTTATTATATGGTTTTTACCTGGTGCTTCAGTTTTTGTATTCTTGACATTTCAAAATTGTGAATTGTTATCAAATGTAGTGAAGGTAAAGTACAACAATGCTATAGGTATCTGTTGTGGTGCTGAGGATACCACTAAATGAGAATAATATCAAGATATATGCTGTATTCTTGCAAGTCATTGTTGCCTATCTATTAACATTACCTGTGAATCAAAATAATGATTAGCCAGCTGATGGGGAATCAATATTATGATTATCTGTTCAAAGTGAATCAATTTCTTGATTGCCTTTCACTACCTATAGAATTCAAATTGTTGTGATAGGAGCAATATTATTTTGCTTAGGAGATACTTCAAGCATTTCTGTTCAAGATCAGGCATGCTCCTTCTTGAAACACTCTCTTATCTTTATGTGATTGGTAAGTTAGAAATGGTCTGCATTTATGCCCAAATATGGTCATAAGGAATCAATCTTTTGATGCCTCCATATTTTGATTCCAAAGGTCTAGTTTGCCCAACTGATCTGGATAACCTGTCACTTCTCATATTTAAGAAGTTGCTAAAATTCTGCTGACAAGTGGGTTCGTGATTACTGCAGAGTGCCGGAGAGCCAATGTTAGAATAAAGTGAAGTTTTAAGGGATAACATGAAGATAAGTTGATATGTATAATAGATAATCAATAAGGACTTGTTTGGCTGCCGAGGAACGATGATATTTGGCGATAATTTGCATAGGCAAGTCAAGAATTTCGACTCTGATTATGGGCATCAGGTAATGGCTCCGTAAGTGATAGTGATTAAATGGAGCCATTATAATTATAAAAAGGTCTAAAAACATGTTTAAAGTGTCTGAAATCGTGTCTTATGAGCTAAAGTTTGCTAATTTCGCTCCATTACCGCGTTTTCAGCATGCACGCTGGTGCACTCGCCACCGATGTTTCGGCGCTCCGCCACCAGGGCGGCCACTTGGTCGCCGACGCTAGTGTTAGGGGATAGGGAGTGTCCTTTCCAGGAATACCGTTGTTTGGTCTAACTTTGGGCCGTGTGGGTAACTTTGTTCCACGAGGAAAAAAATGGCTAAATTTTAATCAGCTTAATACCTATGCGCGAGAAATGGCATTTTTGGGCCGGAACCAATCAAGTAGTCAATGATAAACCCAGGGACACAAAAAATACGTCATCATGTCGATTTTGGATTTTCTAGATTTTTTTGTGAAGCTCCTTTTTTTCACCCAATATTAAGGTTTAGGTAGGTCCCTGTACGAGGCTCAGATGCTACCAGCCGAATCGATTTTTGCAATTTGCCTGAATAGGACATCATGTGAACTTTGCATTCGACTATTGGTAATTTATTTTCCTCAAACATTTTTTTAAAATTTGGGGGTGGTCAATGTTTATACATATTTTTTGCCGTTAATTCAATAACTTTGGGCCACCCGCAGGAAGGGTAAATCCAGGGGTGATTTAAAGTTCCGACACCATATGATGAAGAGGGTCGTCGTGTCGTTCGTTGTGTTCCGTGCCTTTTATTGTGTGTGGTTCGTCGCGTCGTTGGTTGTGCGTAAATGTCCCAGCGGGATACGTAAGCGACCTACAGTCATGATGGTGTGCATCATCCCGTGACTATGTTTGTACAATGTACAAGTTTGCTGTTCCTTTTTTAAAAGCCCCTAAGTGGACCAATGTATCCATAACGACCGCTAACATTGATACTTTTGGCTTTTCCATTGTTTTATTGATGCATTTATTCATATGGTACAAAGTTATTTTTGTGCGGGTAACATTGTGCCACTCTAATTTCAAAAAAATAAATTATATATCATTATCCAAAAAAATTAAGAGTGACTATAGGTGACCAGCAGGGATGTCACTGCCTTACTGCACAATTTCCTGAACATTTAACAAAATAATTTGGAAGTAATACGAAGAAAAGTCAAAAACTGGTACAAAGTTAGGCCAAACAACGGTACTTTATCCATGGTATCAGTATGCATACACCATAGGTAGGCTTCAGTCGGGGGAGGTTTGGTCAATCGTTGTCATTTTTAGCACGTGCTATTTTTGTCACACGTGCTAAAAATGACAACGATTCTGCTATTTTTGACAACGATGAGGCCGATTTCACTCCTCATCGAGGAAATGAAGATTTTGGAAAGATAAACACTGATTTTGGAAAAGAAGTGCTGCCACCTGGTGCAAGACGAAGAATCCAGCTTTAATATGCCTGTTATTTGTATGGTAGTTTGTTTTGTGGCCTGAAGTTGGAACTTAAAATTGAAGCATCCGAAAATGATCGATATTGATCGAAAACATGATGTTGATGAAAAAAATAATATTTTAAGTTGAGAGAGGAGGCCATTTTATCCAGATGCAGTAGTTTACTTCTTGAAATTATTTTTGCTAATGACGGCTGCTAATTATCCCTCATTACATGGCAGTCGTCGTAAGCAAAAATAATTTCAAGAAGTAAACCACCGCACCTGGATAAAATGGCCTCCTCTCTCAACTTAACATATTATTTTTTTCATCAACATCATGATTTCGATCAATATCGATCATTTTCGGATGCTTCAATTTAAAGTTCCAACTTCGGGCCACAAAAAAGGGTATACTTCAACGTTGGACTACCATACAAACAACGGCCATATTAAAGCTGGTTTCTTCTTCTTGCACCAGGTGGCAGCACTTCTTTTCCAAAATCAGTGCTTGTATTTCCAAAATCGTGATTTCCTCGCTGAGGAGTGAAATCGGCTTCATCGTTGCTAAAAATAGCTGATAGCGTTGTCATTTTTAGCACATGGTTGCCAAAAATGGCATGTGCTAAAAATGACAACCATTGACCAAACCTCCCCCAACTGGCTTTGACATTTATAGTGTTGTCAATTTGGCTTACCTATATTTATGTGACATACATATCTCAAGTTTGCTGCTTGAGATATGTATGTCAAAATCTGAATCATGTTTTGATTGACAAAATTCATGAAAAGTTTCAATAACTTTGTAGCCAAGTTGAAATTTTTCTTGGAAAAATTGCTTATCAATTGAAAATATCACATTCTAGTTAAAAGTTTATGCAATAATATTTAAGTTGTGATCAAGGAGTTTTAATTGTTTATACAAGCCTAAATTGTGTCCAGAGTTTAAGATGAAGCTATTTGAAAGCCCTGAAGTAGGGACAAGCATTGCTGATTGCAATTCAGAAAAATTATCAGTTTTGATTAGTCATGACTCATGCCTCAAGACCCATTCTAAGCAAAGTTTGTTGAGCAGGTCATATCCTAATATCTTGGCTTAGACTTGCCCAAAGCCAGACTGTAAAACATGGCAGCAATGCTGACTGCTAACACAAACAGCTTCACTAAATGAGAACTTTGGTCTGGTGGCAGCTCAAGGTTGACACCAGCTTTACCAATAGGTAACATGCTAGCTAGGGTAGTAAATTCACACCAGAGAAAAAAGAAGCAGGCTGAAAACCCACACTACCTGCATGAAACAAGGTCTAAAAGTTACACCACATATTTAAGAAAATGTGCTTTTGATGGCAAAAATTGATTAAAAATATCCATTGTTTGTTGCCCAATTATGTTTTTTTAGACCACAATATGTGCTCGCAGCACAATGGTCCAGTACAGTACAATCTTAGTCCTGCATTGCTTCATGCAACTCTGAATCAGCACCACATCGAGCTCACCACAGGGAACATTGATTACACTGGCAGTGTGCCTGAGCATCAAGATTCCTTGAATTGTCATTATTTGTGATCTGGATTCCAAGAAGGAATGTTTTGACAGGACAAATCAGAACACAAAATTAGGCATGCAAACTGCAAGCATTGACAGTCAACCTCACTCTTCACTCAGACTCACTTACTACTGAGTAGTTTGACCCTAATTTGGAATTAGGTTTGCTCCATTTATCTTCCTTAGTCTCAGCTTCTGCCCTCAAGCATGTGTATCAGTGTTAGCTGCTCAATATGCATGTGGAGAAGATGCTTTTGGAGCTTTAATTTCATAAAAAGCAATATTATTTATTACTGATTGGAGCATTGCGTCCACATCATTCTGGTTCACAAAATATTATTCACTTATGGTATCATTTTAGTTTTCTGACATCTTTAATTGGGTTAATCATTCGATGATTGTTTTACATGCCTACAAAACAAAGGATTTACCATAGAGCTCTGTTTGGTAGCTTTATACAGATACAGGTACTGCTGAGTTTTTTTTTTCTACAGCTATGCTATGTGCGAGGGCTTTTTTTGCGTTTTGAATTTGATTTGAAGATTGCCTTTTAATCAAGTATGTCCGAACGATATGGTTTGGTCAGGCAAAGGGTTTTTGAAGCCAGATTACGTTGTAAGATGGTACAGACTTGTTATCAGTTTTGTTTAGGAGACTGGAAAAGGAATACTCTAAAATATTCTGTAAACAAACCAGGAATACAACAAATTTCAGCATGATTAGATAGTTTCTATAAAACAAATTTCTGGAACATTTATTTGATAAATATTGCTCTGATGTTGATTGCAGATTACATAGATTGCATTCTGCCATTCAGCGATGGCAAGTGGCAAAGTACGTGCGAAGGTGGATAAGGCGTCTGGGGGTAAGTCGAATTTGAAAGAGTCAGTGGGAACTGGGATTTATGATTGTGACCTATGTAAAAATCATTAGCTTATAGTATTGGTGGCTGGTGCTTTGCATCATTCTCATTCCTTCTTCCAGAAATAAGGCTAGCTGCTTGGCTATGAACTTTATGGGATGACCGATTGAGTCATGCCCCAGCCAGTCACCATTTGGCATTTAGTTCCTTCTTTTTGAAATTTATTAACCATTGGCGGATGCAGTAACAAATACAACAGTCGGATATTGCTTTAGATACATTTGGTGACACTATAACAAAACATTTCTCATTGCCTGTACACTGTGAAGTCCACAGTGACACTCGGAGCGTTGACGGCTCCCCTGCCGCGCCCCCAGACACGGTGATGTACAATGACGTGGCAGTACGGAGCAACTCTGCCGTCATCGAGTACTGCCGCACCTCCATGGCCGCGCTCGGAGGCTCCACGGCGGGAATCCTCGGCTTCACCGGGCTCTACGGCTTCCTCTTCTTCCTGCTCTGCAACGTCACACTCTGGGTAGGGGTGAAGGAAAATGGCTTTTTCCTTTTTGCTATTTGGATCACAACAATATATAATTTTCTTTTTCTATTAAGAATCTGAGTCATTACAAGTCGCTATCCCTTATTATGAGCTCGTTATATAAAAAGCTAGCTGCTGTTAATGAATAATGCGTGTATGTATGATGCTTGAAATGTTTAGATCATTGTTTTTCATTTGTTGTTTGCTGTGAGGCTGCCATTGACTACCATTAAGTACCATTTGTGTCTTTGTTACAGCTGCTTCTACTGTTGAAGGCTGGTATCTCGTGGAACCGATTCTTCGTCAGCCGCCGCTCGCTGCTCACCAGTGGCCTCTTCTCGGGAATGTTCACTTACGTCCTGTTCTGGGTGTTCCTGTTCGGTATGGTGCACGTGTACTGAGTGGACTCCGCGCATATGGTGCACATGTACCCAGTGTGTATGACGTGCGGTGAGCGTGTGCTGAGCGCGTTTGTGCCGGCTGTGGCTGATCGCTGTTTCAGCCGATCTCCGCATGGTGGCGCCGTGCTCGCCAGATGAATGCTCTGCGCGCCGCCCGCCTCCTTGCGTTATCAGGCTGCCATAAATTCATTGGTGGCATAACTGATGCACTCTGGGTAGTGTACTGAATGAGTTGTGTCACACTGGTTGCATTATGGGTGGGTAAATGTGGGGTTCGGTGTGGAATGTATATTATGCGGCAACTGTGAAACAACAATGGTTGAAGTGAAGAGGCTAGGTTGTATGTGTGGTGTCGATTTATCGTGATTAAATTTAATGAAATGCCGCAGTATGCCGTGTATTCTTCACCATGAAGCGTTGTTTTTTGTTTGTTTTCAACGAAAGTTTGTTATACTGGTGTTAGGAAAATAGTTCTCGATTGTATTTCACGGCCATTTATATTAAACTTGCCAATTGTCTTTGTTTTATTGCTTTGTTGTTTTTGTTCGCTGATTTAATTAGCTGTCTAGCGTCCATTTTTCCAGAGCAGGGTTGCGGCGCTCATTTTCAACTTGTATTCCTAAAGATGTGTTATCAAATAAAATATTGAATGCACCTTTCTTTTGACAGTGTATTTTTTCCTGTAGCAAACATCACTTACCAACATCAGCTTTTATGCTCGAAAACGAGCTTTGATGATAGAGGGTGAGAGGTTCGGTCGAGAATGAGCGCTTACATACTCCCCAAACCTGGACACATGCCACCTATCTAAACACTGATGACCACCGCAGCCCATGTACCGCAGACTCAAATCACCATCACATGCTGCCAGTGGTAATCTTTTGCCAGCCTATGGTAATGTGGTCAATGGTAATCCTCTGTCCCTCCTTCCTCTCCTCAGGTACAGACCGTGCTCTGCTGAGACCGTGCCCTCCTGAGACCGTGCTCTGCTGAGACCGTGCCCTGCTGAGACCGTGCTCTGATGGGACCGTGCTCTGCTGAGACCGTGCCCGACTGGAACCTGTCGGGACCGTGCTCTGCTGAGACCGTGCTGTGCTGAGACCGTGCTGTGCTGAGACCGTGCTCTGCTGGGACATTTTCTGCTGGGACCGTTCTCTGCCGAGACCGTGTCCGGCTGAGACCGGCTAGGACGGCGCCGGTCCATCCCGCCTGGATGTCCCTCGGACACGGACAACTGGCCTGTTCCCGGTTCCTCCGATCCGGAAGGGACCGGCCTATCACTGATCCGAAATGTTCGGAGACAAGTGGAATGTTTCGAGCATCTGATTTTGTGAGATCAGTGTAGTGACAGTGATCGACGAAAAGCCTCAAGATGAGCTTGTACTGATGTGCAATTTTCAAGATCACGAAGTCTTATAAGACGTGACTTTGAGTCGAGTGTCGGACAACTATCTCATCTCATCACTAACGCTATAACTGATGAATATATGCAATCAACGAAGATCAAATCGACTGACCTTCCGGGATCAAATCACCTCACGGTAAGTCGAGCCACTTAACTGAGTGGTGGTATTTATTTCCACTGATAATACCTTATTGATAAAAATATGCCACATGCGCTATGCCAGTGCTTCACTTTTTGTAAGACATTGAATATTCGAACTTTTTGTGGTATATCCAATTGTCAAGCTTAAAGGCATCCGCCAATACAAAATTTGAGTTCAACTCTGTCCTTAACACTTTAAGGCTCCAATATCCAAACCCAACAAAAAGCTAAAGTGGACAATCACACCCACATGTAAGAAATCCGCCTGTCACGCGGCCTTGGACGCGCCACTGTCACCGATGCCGGCTGGCTATTTCGCCCAGCTGCTGCGCTTGTCGCGGACGTAGCGTGCCATTGTCGCTGCTATGATCCAGCGCCAGGTGCGCGAAATGTGACAGGAGCTGTGGTGGATAGGGCCACGCCTTATGGTCACGCCCCATCACCCAGCGGGTGGGTGGAAAATACCGGCTATGGAGCTACCTGTCCCTTACTAGAGGCTTCGCCACGAAACGGTCATATTCTTATGAGAGGAGCGGATATTTTACTTAGCTTTGGTTGATCGTTTACCATGAAGGAATGTGTTATTTTAAATGTGCAAAAAAGTTTTGTTGAAACTTTTGAAAAGTTATCGCTGCTACAATGCTTAAAAAAACTCATTGTCGGCATGTTATTTGATTTATTCAAGGTCAGATCAGTCGTCCATTCAATATCTTGGGTCCTGTCGAACTCAGACGGACGTCTGAAGATGTTAATGCCTCCATTTTGACAATATTCTGCCGCCGTAGACGGGCGACAATGACGCACGTCGAACTCTGCCGCAGCGGCAGCCATCAGCCACACACTCAGGAGCACGCAGCAACGTCTCCAACAGTTAACACTTAACAACGGTCCATTCTCAATGCATCTGCTGATGGGACAGCAGGTTCACCCTCTGAACCGCCCAACACGCTGAGCTCGCCAGGTCGCCTTCCTCCGCTCTGACCGTGCCGTCCTCTGCCCTTGCTGGACATCATTCCAACGTCTGTGGTCCCATCTAGCGCCCGTTGGTGGTCCGGTCGGTCCACGGATCGTTGATGTGCGGCTCCTGGCAGCAGACGCCCACCGAGCGGCTCTTGTTCATGTAGCACCGCGTGAACGCCACTGTGGGCTGGTCGAGCTGCGGGATCGGGCCCTGCGACGGGTCCATGATGAACCCGGTGTACGGGTCGCACGTGTTGGTGTCCACGCAGAACAGCGACGCGCCGCAGGCTTTCACGACGGGACTCTGCGCGCCGTTGGAGCCGGAGAATCCCCCGGAGACGGAGCCGGCGTACTGGTTCTGGGCAGGAGCGGATCCGGCGCCGCCGAACTGGTTCGGAGTGAAGCGAGAGGGCTGCGGCTGACTGGCCGAGGCGAACGAGTGGGAACCAGAGTTAGGGGTGGAGTAGGAGCCAGAGTTATAGGAGCCGGAGTTGGGAGAGGAGAAGGAGCCAGAGCTGACAGAGCTGATGGAGGTTTGTTGCCGAGAAGGAGAGGACGCAGAGGCGAAGGCAACCTGGGTCTGAGGGCGCGGCTGGGGGCGCGACTGATGCTGCGGGCGTGGCTGAGGGCGCGATTGGTGCTGCGGACGTGGCTGGGGGCGCGACTGATGCTGAGGGTACGTCTGAGGCTGCACCTGAGGGCGTTGCTGCGGTCTTGGCTGCGGTCTCGGCTGCGGTCTCGGCTGGGACTGGGAGCCAGCTCCCGGCGGTACGTACTGACCGGAGACAGCCGCCGTCGTCACACGTCCACCACTGGAGCCTCCGGCGACTGCAGAGCTTACCCGGCGCACTCCTGTGACGCGCGGCACGCCGCCGGCGGAGCTGGAGACGGAGACGATGGCGCGTGCCGGGCTCGAGGCACCGCCGGAGACGCCGAGCTGAGGACGCCTAACCGGGGCGCGGTGACTCGGCGACCCTCCCGACGGCGACGGGTAGGAGGCCGGGTCGTCGAAGGGGTTGGCGCCCGGCTTGTCCCACCAGAAGTCGTCCGGGTTGAGGCTGTTGCTGTTGGTCTGTCTCTGCCGGTTGTTTGCTGGCCAGGGGTCGTTGGCTGGCACAGCTGACGGACGCTGCTGGCTCGCTGCAGGCCACGGGTCTCCCTTCCAGGGCGATGCTGCGGCGCAGGCCAGCACCGCGGCCGCCAGAGGTAGCGTCAACATGGCGGTTTGTGAAGCTCCTGCACGGCCCGCCAAACAGCGTCGAGTGGTGCTCGAGGGCTGCGTCTTGGGCCACTTATAGTGCGACCAATGAGCGCTGCGGAAACCCCGGAGCCCGAGGCATCGGCGTCTTCAGCGGCGGCTCGAACTCGACGATTGGCTACCGTGATGCGCAGAAAAATGATCACTGAAACGAGAAGAACGACGTCGTCTCCACCATCTGTCGCGTTATTAATTACCGATCATTACCGGCAGGGACACGGCTGGGCGGAACGCCGAAAATCGACGACAATGGTCACCATGATGCCGCCGAAGATGGCCGGCCTGGACGCGCCCTTGGCGGGGGTGGTGGGAGGCAGCACGAACAGGATGTGATAATTCGCGTCCCGAGATGATGGTGGGAGTGTGCCTCGTCACCGGCCCCCCGCGGCCGCCGCCGACAAACAGCCCGGTTAATTGGCGCGGCTGTCTGACCTCTGACCCGCTCTGACATCACCCGCAACAAATATTAGGCGAGCAGTGCAGTAACGCTGACCGAGGGGCGCCCGGGAACTCTGCAAGGAAGCTTTCAGCAAGCCAACAACTGGGCGAGGTGTGGCAATGTAGACGGTGCTTCGTCGTTACTACCCTGCGGCTCTTTTGTGATGCACTCCAGAATCCTCCGGAAGACATTACCGGTGATTGCACAGACGTCTTTTTGACCTTGTGGAGACAGCAGGGGCAGACTGAATCAACTGGCCATAAAAAATCTGCTGGGACACCTTCATCCTCATGCTTATGATTCCAACTTATGCTTTAGGCTTGGCTTCTCAATGCCCTTTTTGATTATGCTCTGTTTGCTCTCAATGCTCTGTTTTCACTACATCCTTACAATAATGTCGTTACTCTCCAGTGATGGGCATGGCCTCGCAGTCGTATTCAATCGAATTTCACCTCTGACCGGTGTCGGGTCGGATCTCCCGCCAAAGCTATACCCATTTCATTGTGCGGGAGTCGGCATTTTTGAGCTCAAAGTTTGGTCATTAGATTGGAAAAGTTTGTGTTTCGATAGCAGATTTAGTTGAGAAGCGCTGAAGTAAAAGGTTTCAACTTTCACGACAAAAGTTTATGCTGTTTGCGTAGTTTTGAATAAACTCGATAAACTAGAGATTACGCAAAAGTGCGTTTTTTCATACTCTTCGAAGCTCGGTGAAAGTCTTAAGAATAGCAAATGATTCTCATTCAACATGTGGTTTTGGCTCAGAAGTTTTTGTAGCTTGCTTTTGATATCTATATTGAGGACCGTTGTGAGTTTTGGGTGACGAAAGTTTAAAAGTAGTGAACTATGCATTATGCAATATGCAATGGGTATGATGTAGCAGCATGCTTACAATTACCGATTTCAAGGTGAAATATCACGGACACAATGCGGTGGATCGTGAGCTGGTGCTTGATCCCCGACACTGACAAACGACCAGCCTACATGCATGATAAATGAGCCGCCCAGCCCCATGGGGTGGATATGCTGCGCCGCCGACTTCAGCGCTATGCGGTACAGTCTACCAACAGGCGCACGGCTAGCGCCAGTGCGGCGTCGCAGTTCTTGACGCTCCGGCGGGCGCTACCAAAGTAATTCAACGGGTTCCTTCCTCATTTTCGAGCCGGTCTGCGATATTTTCACTGCAATGCATGACATGATGATGATGAAAGCAGCTGCATATATTTGAACATGGATAATAAATAAATGAATGATTAGGTCGCATCAGATTGTGTAGGTATAAGGATAATACAAATAAGTCTATTTTTGAAATGCCGTGGGACTTCTAGTCACCTCAATAGCTCAGGCATGAGCCGATGGGGCGGTGGCGCGACTATCGCCCTGATATTGAGCATTGCTCGTCTTCTGTGCTTGTTGTGCTGCTGACTTCATTGCATGCAACCAATGGTCAGTGG